GATAAAAGGAGAAAAGATTGAAGTTGTCAAGGATTTCATTTACTTGGATCCACAATCAACACCCATGGAAGCAGCAGTCAAGAAATCAAAAGATGCATTGCACTGGGCAAATCTGCTGCAAAAGACCTCTTTAAAGTGTTCAAAAGCAAAGATGTCACCTTGAAGACGAAGGTGCGCCTGACTCAAGCCATGGTGTTTTCAATCGTCTCATATGCATGGGAAAGCTGGATGATAAGTAAGGAGGACCAAAGAAGAACTGATGCGTTTGAACTGTGGTGCTGGCAAGGATATTGAATATATCATGGACTGCCAAAAGAATGAACAAATCTGTCTTGGAAAAAGTACAACAACCAGAATGCTCCTTAGAAGCAAGGATGGTGAGACTTCGTCTCATATACTTTGGACACGTTATCAGGAAGGATCACTCCCTTGAGAAGGACACCATGCTTGGTAAAGTAGAGGGTTAGCAAAGAAGAGGAAGACCTTCAGTGAGATGGATTGACACAGTGGCTGCAACAATGGGCTCAAGCATAATAGTGATTGTGAGGATGGCGCAGGACCGGGCAGTGTTTCTTTCTTTGTACACAAGGCTGCTGTGAGTCCGAACCAACTCGATGGCACCTAACAACAACACGTGTGGAAACAAAAATAATGCCAGAGTCAAGAATTCACGTCAGCCTAGGTTCGGTGATCTTTAAATGCCAGCACATTTTATACCTGGTAATAATCCCTTACCCCTGAGAGCACTGAAATCACTTACAATAATTTCATGAATGCTTTAAAGAGCATAGGATTTACTTTCACATCATTAGGTAAGATACCTGGAATTTATACACAATAAAGGACAATAGAACGTGGAAGCCTGTGATTTGAATAGTCAGAAAAATGGGATAAATGAATCAGGACCAACGAGAACTCAAACAGGAAACAAATGTTTGTGGGTAACAGGCTTTCAAGGCCAGGGTTCTGGGGCAGGCTACAAAAGTAACAGTGAGGGCAAGTGGCAGATAATCACAAGAAAGGATCCAGGTGAACACAAAATCAGTGCTCAGCTCCAGTTATTAGACAGAATTCCGATGCAAGGATAGGGTGATCACAATTATTTACGAAGCTTTTTAGTATAATACGAAGGGTTTGAATTTATATTACTTAAAAATGCAAAGAGAAAGTCTGTAGAAAGAAAAGATATATGCTAAAGAGAAAATAACAATTAACAGAATTGATTAATTAAAAAAAAAACACAATGTAATTCAGAAAAATAAAATCCTTACAATTTAAGAATCATTAACCAAAAGGGGGAAGGTGTTGGTTAAGTCAGTCTTGGGCAGAAGACTCAAGACTGCTATGTTAAACTGAGTGCATGAGGACATGTGTGAATGGAGATGTAGCGTCACTGAGTTTATTTAAATTCCTTTTCATATTTGGTTACAAACCTAGGCTTTGTTACAGTGGTCAACATATATGTGACCATGGGCAAATTGAGCCAAGTGTTCAGAGGATTTTATCTCCATCATGTTAAACATGAGCTATCATCCCTATACATTTACCTGAATTGTGATTAAAATTTCTCATTGCCCACATACAAATTTACAACCAATGAAATCTTGACTTGGGGCAAGCTAAGGGAATGAAAATAATTCAGGAGACCCTGCTATCAGTACCCAGTCTCAAACTTTACCCCAAAAGGTTAAACACTAGCAAATGAAAACAAACAAACAGAAAAATTAGTCTAGTTCCTAATCTTTAATTCAAGAATTTTAAGATCTAGGGAAGATGTATAATGAGAACGGTATCAGAAAGATCCTAAAATTTCAAACAACATTAATGGTTAATTCATTTTAATTAGTGATTTTAGCAAATAAATGGCATATTTACACTTCATGGAGAATTTTCCTAAATGGTAGCAGGAGGGCAACATGCATATGTAATTCAATTTGATTTCATTCTATACTTAAAAGAAGAAAACCCATTAAACTCTGAAAATATTTGACGAGAAGTGCATCTTTTAAATTTTAAATTGAAGAAAACAGCTAATGAACTTGCCTTGCTAAATAAAATGGACATCATGAAGAAATCTAGTAAGAAACTCTCTGAAACATCTTTGTAGTCAAAGTGGAAAAAGATGACAGTGAAGCTCAAGGTGACAAACTGATGGACTGGATTACAGAAAGATGTCCGCAGCAGCTTCATGCCAGCAACAATCATCAGAAAAATGTTCCAACTGTGAAAAAGGAAGAAAAGAAGCAATCAATGATCGTGTGCAAAACCCAAGGTGAACTACAAGAGCCAACATTTCTGGAGCATTTACTGTGCCTTATGTATTTACAGGTACAAAGAGCCAATATGGTGCGTCCTGTTATTATCTGCATTTTCCAGTGGAGGAAACTGAGTCTCAGAGAATTGAAGTAACTTGTGCAAAGTCCCACAGGGACAGAACTAGGGTGGAAACTCAGTTCTGAGTGACTCTAGAGCACATACTCTTTGCCACTGCAGACACTTCCCTTCCCGGCATGTGCTTTTTATACTGTCCGGTGTTGTTCAACAGTGACATTGAGCTCCATGTGAGCTTATCTGAGGCACTACTGCCATGAGGAGGCTCCACAGAAAGCCTGGTGCCAGGTCAGCCAGCAGATCAAACGCTGTCCATGTTACAGCGTGCTCAGTGTAGGCCTTCTCACTATAAAAAAAATCTTATTGAAACAGTGATGTGACAAGAGTGAATATTAAAAGCCAAAAAGAGAAAAAATCAGCATCCTAACACAGCCATTTTTTTTTTTAACATATTACCTTCTAATGTTTTTCAGCATATTTGTCATCCTAGTGATCATAAACTTTCTGGTCTGCCTTTTTTTCACTTAAAAGTATATCACCAACATTTTTTCCCATGGCACAGGCCTTTTCAGTTCACCACAGGCAGCATCAGCCAAAGAAATACACTTTGGGACTCGGATTTGAGGACTAAGTCCTGAGTGCGCCCACCCCGGGAGTCAGATTATCATCCCATGTAGGAAGCAGGTTTTAAGTGTCCAAGTCCACCAGATGGTGAGGTCGACAGTGAACAACCTGTCTATCCTGAGACTGAAGGTAAATGCTAACAGCTCAGAACAGTTTCAGAGAGTAAGCAACCATCTCCACAAGAGGCCTGTCTTTCTGAAAAAAAGACTTTGCATGTTTCAACCAGATTCCCTTCCACTTATCCAATTATAAAGCACTATTTGGAGCTCAAAAGAAAGACAGAGGTGGGAATACTTTCTCAGACAATGACACTGGGCTTCACAGAGAAAGGTTTTCTTTCTCTGGCTAAATACAGACAACTAGGGCCAAGCCTCAATTTCCCTAAGCCTAGAAAGAAGGCTACTGGACCCTATACTCTTATCAGCATTATCAATATCTCGGCCCAGGGTAGGGGTATTTAAAAAATGCTTTCAAAGTCTTTGCACCTATTAGGTGCAAAATTGTCATTTTTGTAGTAAATAATATCTAACATTGGCAATTCCATCCATATTTCTCAATATGAAATTTTATAAGCTTTCAGACCTAAGGCTGCATGCAGGTTGTTTCCACTCTGACTCAGGAGGTTTGTCCCAGGTCCTGTGGGACAGGCTTGGACTTCGCTTCTGAGAAAAAGTTGCCTTCGACTGCACACAGATCTGGGGAGAATGACAATGTTTTTCTGCAACTTCAACCCAGAGCCCTCAGTGTTGCTTCAGCATGGGTTGAACATTGCTCTATAACTTGCTTTCCTTTACTAATGCCCATGTATGAAAACATGACTTTGGATCCAGTTGCCCTAGACAACAGCTCAGGGTACGAAAGTTCCCATGGGACAGGCAAAGCTCTCTGGAGTGACACCAATGATGAAGTGTCTCAAGACTAAGGATATTTTGGTATTCAAGGGGAAAGTGGTGGTATTCTGAGTTATTCAGGCAAAATCTAGATGAGGGTCAACTCTACACTTTCTATTTTCTGAGACCATGATTAAAAGAGACTGCTCTCATTTTATATTTACTACTGATGACTCATTAAAATTATGGGAGATCTTACGGACCAATGTTTATGAGTTTTAAAACATTGCCATAGTTACTGGTTACAGTTAATGGCTCACAGATTGTTGTACCGTTAGAAGAAGGCTTTCATAACTAAAGGTATAGCAGTCAGTCAACAAAGAACAAAGGTCTGGGACAGAAGCAGAATACCCATTTAGAACATTTTATAATATATAAAATACATATATTGTATTTATAGTATATGTATACACATACATCACAGGAGCCCTGGTGGTGCAGTGGTTAAGTGTTTGGCTGCTAACCAAAATTTCGGCAGTTTGAATCTACCAGCTGCTCCTTGGAAACCCTATGGAGCAGTTCTAGTCTGTACTATCGGGTTGCTATGAGTTGGAATCAACTTGACGGCAATGGGTTTGGTTTTTTTTTTTTTTTTAATACATATATATATATATATAAAACAAGATATCACAATTTATCCGCTCATCCAGTTATCCAGCTCCCCACTCCATCATTCACCCACCAATCTTTATAACCATTACGAGTGGTTTGGTATAAAAAGTTGAATAAGAAACAATTGCTGTTATTGAAGAATCCACTACCTGGTACAGCAGTTGTCAGAGAAGACAGTGCTGGAGCTAAGCTCATAGAGTTTAAAATAGGTCTCTAGGTGATACTGATACACTGCCTCCTGCTGTCCTGTTTGAGAAGAGATAGTTGAGTGGGGTGTCTGAAATATTGAGAGTTTTTTTTTTTTTTTTTTTTTTTAACATCTTCAAATGAATGCCTCAAGAATAGAAAGAAATTGTCAGCTTTGGGTCCTGAGGAAAATAATTCTGATGGTATCACCTGGGAGTTGAGAGTATTGGGAGATATATAGGTAAGGTGTTCCTTTCTGACTTAATGCCTGGAAAAAATACCCAGTAGAAGGGATAAAGAGTGACATTACTTCAGACTGGACTCTCTCTGAACTGGTTATTTGACTCTGCCTGGGTCCCAGCCCTCGCATCCATCCTCTGCCAACAGCGAGCACTGTTTGCTCTCAACTTGCAGGCTCAGCTCCAGGTCCAAATTCTGGTTTTGGATAGAGAGACCTTTAAGTCATTAGCTTGATGCCCCGGGGCAGTCCTGGTACCTTCTTTGCTATTGTGGTTCTGATCGCATGTCCTCGTTCTAGAAATTGAGGATCTGCCTTGTTCTGGGATGTAGTCAAGGGGTCAGCTAGGGTTGTACCATACTGGAAATCCTTGCCACAAGTAGAAGCACTGGATATTCCCAATGTAGACTGTCATCTCCTAGACTGGGCTCTTCCCATTGTCTGCTTCCTTTATCCACTGGAGCTAATTCTTATCCCCAGATCTTAAGTCTAAGATAACAGATACCTAAGGGCTTGGACTTCCTGTCCTAGCGTAGCCAAAACAAGCCTGGACTAGAAAAAAGACAGGAAAGTTATGGAGTCCACTTTTTGTGACTGTGAACCTCCTCAAAGTCCAACAGAGTATTAGAAAGCCTTTTATCTTAGCTTGTTCAATCTTTGGCAAATATTAATTAACATGCCCTCATCACCTCTGAAAAGAAGAGCATGTCTGAATTAGTATGCTTGACATTATTTACTAGGATTTAGTTGAGCACATGGTGTTTAAGAAACGTGACTAATAAGCAAATCTGAGAAAAAGAATTTCTTTCTCATCCTCCTACTCTAGCAACTTATTTGACCAGAAACATTCACCTTTTGTCAGGATGAGAAATCCACAAATTATCAAGTAGCTTTCCATTTATAAACTCAGAAGTTATTCTAATACATGAAACCAATAAACTGTACTTTGTTAATGTTTTGCAAAAACACAAGCATCTTGACTGGATAAGCCACTGTGCTCCAGTTTTTTAATTATGAGGCTTCAGCTGATAAATGCAGAAAGAGCAACGCAGTGATTAATTCCGCCTCCCCCAGTTCAAAATGATAGAGCCTCTGCTAAATGAGATGACACGAACACGAAGGTAAGAACTCCAGGAGCCCCGGATCCACACTGTGCTTCCGTCATCTTATTAAGGCTCACTGACTAAACTTTCCCAGGATGGTTTTCAAATTTACTGACATTTATTCACAACATCATTTGGAGCAGATCTAACTTCGTTTACACCCCAGTCACAGTACAGTATCAGCTAGCTGTAGAGAGTTTGAGTAAAACACTACCACAGCTCACTTTTACGAGGCCAATAATTAGTAGGTATATGTTGGCTTCTGCTGCAGCCTGTTTAGAGAAAGTCACTGGATTTTGAAAACATTCTGATCCAAATCGTTATGAGAACAAATAATTATGTACTTACTGGGTACCAAGTCTCCGGTAATTGCTTATTAGAAATGCATCAATAGTGAGGGCATTCAAAATTATTGTTGGGTATAAGATATATTTTTCAAAACACTGAAGCCAAACATAGACTCTTTCAAACCACATTAAATGGGCGATATCTGAAAGAAATACAAAAGCCACTTAGACGCCAATCAAATTATTTTTCTTTAAGTACAAGTAATAAGTAATATTCCCCCTTTAATTCGATAGCTGCTGATTAAGAACTCCATATACTAGATGCAATATACCAATTTCCCTTTCGAGCAGCAAGTCTTAACTTTGTTTCTACATAGTTCAAAAATAATAATATGTAGGCCAGCATCCCAATTTTTCAAGTCAATTGATTTTTTCATGTATAATTATTACTGAGATCAGTGAAATGAGTTGTCACACAATATCAAGGCATCTTAGAGTAAGTAACAGTGAAAGTGAAGGATGAAGCATTTGAAAAAATCACATAAGCCCATCTCCTTTTAGGCTTGGGGTCACTTTCGAGGCTGGGGTGAGTTTCTGGGCTCTTCTCTGACTCTTTTTAATCTTTAAATCAACAATCTATTCCCTATGCAGCAAATACAAACATGAGAAAGCTAATCTAAAACCCCTATCACTATGAATGTATTACATCCCTATGAGACTTATGACAAAGGAAGTACCATAGGGAGTCAAGTGTATTCCCATAAGAGCTAAGGTTTTAAATCAGACCAACCTGGGTTTGCATTCTAGCCCTATCAACCACTAGTTGTGTGACATTGAACAATGAACTTCATCTTTCTGAACCTCCATGTTCTGTGTCCCCACCTGGCCTCTGAATCTACTACTGGGGAAGGGAACATCTCTCTCTCCTGCTCCTCAAGGCAGAGGGAAAATCTGTCTGCCACAGGATGTGGACTGAAAAGAGTCCCCCAAAATATGTGTTGAAATCCTGGTCCTTGTACCTATGGATGTAATACTGTTTAGACATAGGGGCTCTCTTTTGTTATGTTCTTGAGATCTTACCAGTATAGGGTGGGTCCTAAACCTAAACACTTCTGAGTTGTAAAAAGAGCAATAGACACGAAGACACACACAGGGGGAAGAGAAAGATAGAAGACAGATACAGATGTATCTACAAGCCCAGAAATGCCAATGATTGTTCTCAGCTAGCATTGTTATTGTTGTGTGCCAGTGAGTTAATTCTGACTCATAAGGACCGTATGAGTAGAACTACCCCATAGGGCTTCCGAGGCTATAGACTTTACCGGAACAGATCACCAGGTCTTTTCCCCCTGAGGAGTGGCTGGTGGGTTCGAACTGCCAACCTTTCAGTTAGCAGCCAAGGGCTTTAATTATTGTGCCACCAGGGCTCATTTGGCAGTGACTAGAAGCTGGAATAGACAAGTAGGGAACTTCCCCTAGAGCCACATCCTGAATTCAGACTTCTAGCTTCCTGAACTGTGAGAAAATAAATTTCTGTTCTTTAAAGCCCCTCACTTGAGATATTTATGTTTTGGTGGCACTAAGTAGCCAGATTGGGTAGCATGGGAACACGCATTTGTGGTGCCTCTCAACCACCTCTCACTAGCTGCTCCCTCTGGGGAGGAAGAATCACTGATGGGGCTGTTCACGTGAAAACTTGAAGCCATATTACCGGAGGTGGGGCAAATGTTTCATGCCTGCCTCTGGGGTCCGTAACAAGAGCCAGGGCTCTGTTCAGCTTCCTGCCTCCCTGAGGTAAGCACACCAGGTTCAGGCCCATTAGGTATGCCATCTCATTCCCTCCCTGATGTTCTCAGTTCTACTAGTAACCGTGTGGCTGTGGCGGGCTGCAGTCCCTTATCAGATGGTGGTAAATGAGCCAAATCTGCTCTCCACTGGCAAGTCTGAAGATCTAAATTTAAAATGAAAACAGTAAGGCGACTCCATCGGGCTTCTGATACCACATTCTTCAATGATTTATAGTAAAAAAAAAAGTATACCCCAATAATCTATAGTAAAAACCAAGAGAGTCATACGAATTTTACGTTGAGTTGCAATAGAATCAATTTATGAGATAGTTTCCACTCACAGTAGCAGATAACATAGAAATGACTGTCTCTTCCAGGATTCTTTTTATTTTTTTTTATTTTTTACTGTAGTTTAGATGAAAGTTTACAGAACAAATAGTTTCTCATTAAACAGTTAGTACTTTTCCAGGCTTCTTATCCAGGATTACAGGACAAACTACCTGTTTTCAACCAACTTCACTAGGTCTTTATCCGAAGGATCTCAGGAAGCAACACAAACACACATGCACATGCACAATTGGGAACTGATATTTTACCTTCTTTTTTACATGGCTTACATTCTATATAAGAATGTGTTATCTTTATAACTCAGAAACAAAAAAGCTACCTTGATTTTGATTAAAAATATGAGGAGAGGTTTATCATTTACAAATCTTACTTCAAAATAATTCATTTGAATGGGATAGGAATGTTGAGAATTGATAAAATTGAATATACTTCAAAGATATGGGAAATAAAGTATTATGAGAACAAACATACCAACAATTAACCTAATAAATAGAAAAGAGATGCAATAAGAAATTATCAAGATAAAAATAAAAAAAAATTTTTTAGTGGTAACTGAAACAGGAGGAAGAGTAGAAGGAAAATAAAGTTGGTATTATTCTTAATGGCCAATGTACAATGTTTTCCAGAGTAGATTTGGAAATGTCATTTCACAAGGAATGAATTTTTAAGATATAATTTATGAAATATTGTATAGTCTATATTTTACATATAGATTTAAGAGTTTTTATATTTTGTGCCAGTATATGGGGAAAAAAAAAAAACTTCAATATGCCTCCTCCATTTCTTCCAAGCAAACAACTGTGACCCCATATCCTAGAGAAAATTGATGCTATTAGGCACAAATTCCTTCACCTTCTCACCTTCTCAGCTACAAATTTATCTACTTTCACATCCACCTTTATCTCCCTCTTGCTCCTCCTGAGGCTGTGCCCCCACCGATGCCCTGGGTACCATTTTCCCCACCATCTTGGTTGAGCAGCCATTCCATTGCCTCAAATACAGCTCTTTCCTAATGGCATGTAGCAAAATTCCCATGTTCAACTTCTGCCACTGGGTGTTTGCAACCACCACCTTACTGAACTGCACATGCTAAGGTCACTCGTGACCTCCTAACTCTCAAACATCTGATACTTCTTAGCTTATCTTACTAGACCTTTCTGAGACATAAAATGTCACTGATCCTGCCCTCTTTTTAGAACTCTCTCCTTCCTTAGCTTCCCCAGGCCATCATCTCCTATATGTTCTCAAAACTTTCCCACTTCTCTTTCTTATTTCCTTTGCAGGATCTTCTTTCCCCACCCTTGGTTGTTTGCTTTCCTTGGTCCTCTTTTTTATTTTTCTCATTTTTTTTAGGTGATATTCTCAACACTCATAACTTTAATTATTACTTCCATGCTGATGGCCCTCAAATATATAACTCCATCTCCCATCTCTCTCCTGAACTCCAGATCTAAATATTAAACTGGATAGCTTCATCTGATGTCCCAAAGGAATCTTCAAATACAATATGCAAAAACTGAACTCTGTATCGACCTCCACTTCCTTACACATTTGTCATCCTATTTAATGATACTTCCATTCACTTAGTCATTTAGGCAATACATTTTGGAGTCATCCTAAATCAGTGCTTCTCCATCATAGCTGCATGTTGGAATTACCTGGGGCCTGTGGTAGGGGAAAGGGGTTTAAAATATATTGGCACCTTGGACCTAACCTGAGATATTCTGATATAATTGGGCCAGTGTATTGCCTGAGCTTTAAGATTCTTAAGATCTTCCCAGGTGCAGTCAAGGCTGAAAAATACTGTCTTAAATCGATGATTCTTAACCTTTAGCATGAAAATGAATCACTTGCTAAAATGCAGACTCTGATTCAGTATGTCTCAGGTGGGGCCAGACATAGTTTGCATTGCTAACAAGCTTCTAGGTGAAGCCTGTGCTGCTGGTCCTCAGGATATACTTTGACGGGAAACAAGGACCAACAGTGTCAGCCTCCCCTAGGAGCCTCATAGAAATGCAAATTCTCAGATCCCATGCTGGACTTACTGAATCAGAAAATCTGTGGGTTGAGCCCAGCAGTCTGTGTTTTATCAAGCCCTCCAAGTGATTCTGATATATATTTAAGTTTCAGAATCACTGTTCCTAATAATCTTCCTCTCTACTCTATGACTAATTCTTGTTAATTCCATGTGCTTAGTCCTCTCCTTCCTATTCTCACTGCTTAGACCCTCAACACTGTTTGCCTAATATATACACATATATATATATATATATATATATATAAATATAAAATTGTCTTTTATCTAGTTAGACTCTCTCTTTCCTAATCAAGACTGCCTGTCATTTGGGTGCATTGAACCCCATTTATTCCTACCTACTCACAGACTTTTCACTTATAATTGTCCTCCAATCTACTGTATTGCCAGGATCATTCTCATCGGCATACAAGCATGCTGTAATATCATCCATCTTAATAAAATTTCTTGACCCTACATATCCTTCTAAGTTCAGGGCATTTTCCAGGTATCACCTTGGCTCCCCTCCAATCAGATTCTCCTCTTAACTGCTCCATGAAAGTGCTTTGTTAAGATCACTCTGACCAACACATTGCTACAATGGTCAATCTCAGTCCCCATGTTACTCAGCCTCCCAGAAGTATTTGACCCAGTTTATTGCTCCCTCCTTCTTGAAACTCCCTAGTTGATCTTATCCATTCTCCTGGCTTTAAATATTGCCAATATGCTGATAACTACTAAAAATAAATCTCCACCCACAACCTCTTTTCTGGACTTCATACCAGTATATCCAACTATCTATTCAACATCTCTCAAATGTTTAATTAGCATGTTGAGCTTGACATACTCCAAACAAAGCTCTTAATTTCATGCTCTCTCACCTAAACCTACTCCTCCATTCATTCATTCCACAAATTATTATTGATCACCAACGATGTGTCATGTGAGATAATTAGTACACAAAACATTACAAATCCCCGCCCTCACGGAGTTTACATTCCTGTATGAACGATAAATAAGTACGTTATATAGCATGTTAGGAAGTTGTGGGTGA